TGAAAAAATTACGAATTTTCTTAGTTATTCTCGGTTTTACAGCTCCTGAAGTGCGAGTCACTCAGTCAAAGCTCAGCTAGACATAGTTATAATTCACAATTGATCACATTCTGGAGTAAAGTGTCCCACCAGTCCCAATGCAATGGCCCTTAAATTAAAAAACAGCAAAAAATTAAATAAGATAAGTTTCTAAAAATTTAACAAGAAAATGAATAAATAAAAAAAGGTAAAAGAAAACTTTCCTTCCGTAGGACTCGAAATCGGATCTCTAGAATGGCACGCCAGCGCTTTGCTCACTCAGCCATTGCGACTGTTAAGGCACTGCCGGCAAAAAGATATAAATACTTATTTTTATATTTGATTTCAAACTGAACGAAAAAAGTAAGTGATGCCACAAAAACACAAAAAAGCGCCGCAACTGTGGTCATACTTAAATTTTTCATTAACTAATGAGCTCTTAACTCTGAGAAACAGATTTGATGATCGTACCGTTAAGTACCCGTTACAGCTAATTTAATGAATATTTCTGAGTGCGGCTTTAAGGGCCGCTTATCAAGTAAGTTTTAAAATTTATCTTCTCTTTAAACAGAAATGTTGTTCTGAAAAATTTGTTTGAAAGGCAGATAAATTTAAAAAACTACTTGATAAAAAACGCACTAAATAAATAAACAAAACACATGCAAAACTTTAAAGCCCTGGCCGTATCATTAAAAACATGTGATCCGCTTTCAAAACAACCGGGTTTCTGTTCATTTTCCATTGATGATTTTCTTGATTTTTAGACAACCCTAATGCAGAAACATATTCAGGTATGTATTTGGGTGCATATGCCAGCTTGTACCGCTGTATAATTACGATAAATATTCTAGTTGTCATCGTTGGGTTCAGCGGGGTGCGAATGCTTTTTACTTTATACATATGTACATATATGTATTAGAGATTGGCACGGCATATCGGGAGCCGCGGGCCCGCGGGACCCACGGCACTGATTTAAAAATTGCCGGGATGGGCGGTATCGGAAAGGTCTTTAACAATTTTGCGAGCGGGGCGGGACCAAAATTTTTCCCCGATAAAACTTGCAACCTCCAAAAATTCATAAGTTTCCTTAAAAACGTTTTAAGCACTTTTTTATGTTTTATTGAGCCGAAAACGAACAGCAAAGCAAACAAATATTCGAGGATGCCAGGTCTTTTTTTGTTTTTTTTTTTGTTTATTTGCATAAAAATATTTTTAAAAAATTTGAACGGTATCGGCTCTTCCGATTTAGACTTGGTGATGCAATCTAATGTACATATATACATATTTGGGTAGAAGTGAAAACACATCCATATACATACGTATGTGCAATTGCATGGGTTTCTTCTAGCATCCAGCTTTGCATGTCTCTATATGTATGTAGGTCCGAAATTTGCACTTTTGATTTATCATTTTGTATAAATTTTTACTTGAGCTAATTTACTGCACCTAAATTTAGCGTTTTTGCATGGTGAATGCTTTGCATAATTGACACACTGGAAGTGGGCTTAAAATTCGGCTAGCTTTAAAATGCAGAAACAATTTCGTTATGTAGAAATAAAAAGAAAATTATAATTTGTTTGCGGTTTCGGTAGTGGTGGATACTTTGCTTGACAGCTGTTGCGCCTCTGCGGGCAATTCCAAACGCCTTAGTGCATTTCTGCCAATAAAGAAGCCCATTTATAAAAAAAAAGCTACGTATCAGCTGTTGATAAACGTGGTTAACCAGACTTCATAGTTGATAAAATTACCGAGTACTAGCAGTTTACCAAAACTACCGAAATGGTTGTGAATACCCCTTTTATAATTTGCTTAGGCGTAGAACAAATACCTCTACGTACAAATGCATGCTAAAATTTTTTTGTAGAATTTGCACAAATACGGAAACAAATAAATTTATTTACGTGAAGAAAGAGTGCTAATTGAAAACGCACGTTTTTCCAATATATTTAAGTAAGTAATATGCACATATTTTTCGAATTGACACATTATTACAATAGTATTTCGCTTAATACAGATTTAATTTTAATTCGGTGTTAGTATTTTGTTTCAAGTATTAGCTGAGTTGACTTTTTTTTAAATAAAATTAAATATTTGCATAACCCAGAAAAATGCCATTCAACTCAGCAATCACGATTTTAATCTCTTCAATGTGACCTTGCATCTCAATACAGCCTCACACTCGTTAACTATCAAGCACACTTTATATTCAAAGCACAATATTATTGTTTGTATGGGACGTCTAATTGGTATTAGATTGTTTTGTGGAAAAAAGAGGCGCAATTATTAGTAAAATGTCTACCCACACCTATAAAATTGTTTTTGTTTATTTACTCCTTTGTGTCTATGCATTTCAATTCAAATGCGAAATTAGAGCAAGATAAGATTATTGCAAAATCTGTGACTCAGCAATGTGAGTACAAAGGTTGTTTAGTCCACAGAATTACATACATATAGTAGTCATTTGAATTGAGCTCTATACAAATCATGGCGCAAGGATGAGTTGTGATTTGCTTGTGATTTTTGAACTAATTTGAGTACTTGTCCATATTTTATTAAAAAAATATAGATTAGTGTTTAATCAATAACTCGTCAGATATAGTGAAAGTTATGTGCCTTTTTACTCACGTATTTTTTTTATGTAGGTATGTACTATGAGGCATATTTCAGCCCTTGCTTTGAGTCATCACAAGTACACATGCATATACATATGCATACACATAAATATGTATGTAATTGTAGGTGAGTTAACGGCGCCGATTAATTTTTTTACTACCTTATCTCATTTTTCGCTCTACTGACTATTTGAATCTCTATTGACCACCTCTTAAACCAATTATACTGCGTATACAGTACTCCCCGGATATAAGCGTTGACAAAAAAAATGCGCGAAAAACTTTAAAAGCGGGGAGTTCATTTTAGGTGGGTATCCTATTAAGTGAAAATTTACGCTTTTTTGGGTAAAGAGCTAGCATTTAACGCTTATTGAGCATTGTATTGGTTCTGGACACAGGGAGGTTTCTGCTAACTGCATGGCCGACGAGCTGTCAAGGGCATATATGTTCGTCATGAATTCTGCCCAGAAAGTGGGCATATCTCTAGTGTAGAAATTGAATTTTCATTTTTGACCGTTACGCGTTGAAGTTGGGTGCCGAAGGCAGAAAAGAAGAAACACGACAAAGAAGTGAAAGAGCAAACGACAATAAAAACGAGAGGAAAAGAGAAACGTCAAAAATATTACCTTTATTGCCTTATTTGGGTATAGCGCGTACTGGGACTTTTTGGTGTTAGAAAACTCAACGCTTAAAGCTCCAATTTAGAGACTGCTGTAAGTGACGTATCTTGTTCAAGAGGTGACAGTAGTCTATTAAGCAGTATTTTATTTAAAGTTGCTATGTGGGTAACTTCATAAGTTCACACTTGCCAACAAACTGCACTCGTATTAGACAACGATATACATATGTATGTAGTAAAATGAGATAATTTCTAATTGATTCATTCAGTGATTTTTTTTTTTAATACATCCGAACCCGGACATGTTTATTGCTTTTTAGATGCTTTTGTTTGGCATTTTGGTGTTTTTCGAAATATTTAGAGGTTGAATTTGAATGTAATTTTTATGTTTCTGCTTTAAATTGTTTTTGAATATGCTTATTGTATTTGTTTAACATGCTTTATATGTGATACTATTATATCTACGCTAAATAACGCTTACTAAATTAAATGAATGTATTTAAATAAAAAATCCTTTCATAAAATTTCCACACATTATTACATATGTATAAGCAAGGACTGTAGTTGTATTTAAACTTTTTTATGTATGACAAAAATATTGTTTATTGACCTAAATTGCTGATTTTTGTATCCAGCGAACCGTATAGAGAATAAATAGTTCAATTAAGTTGTAAATGTTGCCGCAACTTTTAGTTTATTGGGCTTTAGAAGCGCAATGTTTCAAGTATGTGTGAATGTTTGTAAATTTTCAGATTATAAAATTGTAAATGGAGTAAACTGTTAATGACCTTATTCATAAAAAATAAAGTAGGTTTAAAGAGCTTTATAAATTGACGTTTCCATACATTTTTCAATTTATAAACCTTTTATAAAGCTCCTATATTTTTTATGAATAAGGCCATTAGAGTATGAAATATACATAAAAATATGTGCTGCAAAAAAAACCTAATAATTATTTTAAATCTGCTAAAAAATATTAAAAAAAGTAAAAAATATTAAACTGTACAGGCTGCTAGGAATCTTGAATTCATGATAACCTAAAAAAGATCACACAAATGATCGTAGAGAAATTAAAACTACCTTTTTTGTAGTGGAACTTCTTTTCGCTCTGTTGGCTGTAACTCCAAACTCCGATGAAGAAAAAAACACAGAAGAAGGGATGGGATGGCAGCACGGCCATGATTAAGATTAATATCATCATTAAGATGAAGTAAATTTTAATATTAAGACTGAGATTGAGAAAAATACCCTTATAATATAGGAAGAAGTTTCACATCAGTCGCGCCTGAGACTCGCGCATATTTATTTATTTATTTAAACCAATTTCAAAATTGGCATGAACTCGACTGTCACGTTTCCTAACTCGATGAGGTTCCTACGAACTCGTTTACAAAAAAAAAATAAATAAATTTGTCAATGCTATCGCCTCTTGTTAGCCAATATCCAACCCACGATTACTCCTCGGGGTTTCAAGAATTTTCCACAAAAAAATTTAAGTCATCCTCGACTTTTCGGCAAAATATCTGCTCGCCACAAATTTTACGTGTCACAATTTAGTTTCTTATAGCTATTTATACAATTATTTTTAATAAGTATGAGACGTAGAAGCCCATCTCTTTTTCTTCTCTTCTAGTATGGTTCGTTGGTTTCTTTAGCTTAAACTTCTTTCTTCGTGTTTCATATCATTTAAAATATTATTTCTATAAATATTCGACTTCTTTTCTTTTTTACATTTATTTCTTTTTACACAGGACGAGAAAACTCTGGACATTATTGGACAATATAAACCTGAAATATTCTGCTAAATACAAATAGGACCATTAAAGGCGCTCAGTTGTTTATTTGAGTTTCAACATTGCAAAAGTGCCCACATTAATGAACAAAACAAAAAACACTTAACACATGAAAATGAACAAAAGGAGCACTTAGTAACACTTAAACAAAATAAAAACTCAATACTTCGTACAACACGAACAAATTTTTTCACAACAAAACAGATAATACGTACAACAAACATAGCGAGAAAGATCAAAAGTGTACCAAATTATAAGGAGAATTTAAAGTATTTTAAACGAAGCTGTAAAAAGAAGCTCAAGCTAAGCTATGCATTAGAGAAGCAAGCAATTAAAGGACGAAATCAATTGCATGCGAAATGAAAGTATCTCACACAAAAAATAAAAAATAAACGCATCAACAATTCACATTAATCAATCACTGATATATGTAAATTAATTTGGTGATCTTATGCAACGTTTAAGTTTATGTATGCACATCACGAGAAGCAAAAACAAAAAGTAAAACAAAAGCAAGGCAACAAATTAAATATTTTAAAGCAATATTTAAGTAGCGTTTAAGTGTAAAGTTAATTGAATAATTATTTTTTTATTTGTGTTTTTTGCAAAAATTTATTTAAGACATTCTTTTTTTGTTGTTGTGCTTTAAATGTTCGTTCGCCGTTAATATTCGCTCAGATTGAAGCTCTGCTTGCACGATATTAAATTTAATGAATTAATTAATTACTGAATAAGAACTAATTCGTGCTTGATGGTACTATAATTCTCTTGAGGACTAAAGATAATTGCATCTTTTTTAAGAGGAGAATTTATGATAAACACAAACGAACAAAAACCTCCCACACACACACAAAACAACAACAACAATCCACAGCAGCACGCACCTGTTGGGCAAGTGAGCGCATGCGCAACAATTCCATTATCAAAAACGCACGCATCGTACGAAATACGGAATAAAGCGGATTATCAAAGACCACACTCATACACGCTTCAACAATAAATAAATAAAAAAATAAAGACGCTTGCGCAATTGCGTTCAAAACGCGTTACAGGTAAGAACTCAAACGAGTGACGTCAAATCGCATCTAACCCAATACATATGTATGTATGTATGTGCTACTAAGGCTAAACTATTCTATGTGCTTCTCGTTTTAAGTCATAAGTTCACTAACATCTCACTGCTTGCTAACCTTAATCCAGTTTGTATTTTTTAGTGACATTCATTGCATATTCTCCATACCTATTGATACATATGTATGTACATCTACATTCGATATGCCTTTGCTCTGTCTACTATGTATTGCTGCTGCTGCTTTACTTCTATTAGCGCCAATGCGTCTCCGTAGCTCATAATTGCTTTTTGTTGCTGCATTTTATTTTATGTAATTAAGTGCTTATTGGAATATCTATTAAAATCTCTGTCACTACAAATATTTAATTGAATAAATAACCTCACTTTCATATTGACTTACGAGGCAATTTGAAAAGTCAGTGACTTTTTGAATAAAACATATGTTTAGGCCCGACTGCTAACACCGAACGCCTACATTCGTGCTATGTACTGCTGCATGCGCAAAAATTTGCTTTATGCAATTTATGAAATTTTTGCACATGCACTTCTCAACCGCCATGTAATTGAACTTTCTTAAGTTTCAATTAGATAGCACTTCAAATTATGCTCTGCCTAGTCGGATGCATCCTCTATACACTGCTTCCGTAGCATTTTACGGACTCTGCAAGATGGTAAACGAAGTTTTCCATTGGCCACAGTGCCTACCCACTACCTTTTGGTCCAATAAATATTTTTTTTATACAAATACATGCAAAATGCTGGTCTCCCCTCTCACTGGGTTAATCAACATATATTTGTCGGCAAAAAAGCGTTTTATTTCTCAACATAGTCTCCTGTTAGCCCGATACATTTAGTACTGAGTTTTTTTCAATTTTGTAATTCCTTCCAAATAATAGGTGTTTCAAGGTCCTCAAAATAAATGTTTGTTTCAGCGATGGCCTCTCCAATCGACCCAAATCGCTTACCGCCCTGTCATTTTTTTGGGTTCGGAAACTTGTAATAATCGCTGGGGGTTAAATCGGGGGAATATGGTGGAAAGGCGAGCCCAGTTGATAGATTTTTTTCTATGAGCACCCTACTGTATCGATGCCCTTATTGGCCGACAGACCCGCTTTGTCCTTCTTCTGTGTACTGCTTTATTGTGGCTTGGTCTCTGTTGTGTTGTGGTGGATCCATGTTTCTTCAACGTGTTTACAAAACGTAGCAAAACATCGCCAAACGCTCCCTTGAAAGGGTCACCCGTTTGCTTTTATTGTCGAGTGTGAGCTAGCGTGGCACCCATCGCGCGGTTAGCTTTTTCCTATCCAAATATTCATGTAATTATGATGTACCCATTCAGTTGAGATGCTTACAGCCTCAGCCACCCCTCACACTTTCATTATCCGGTCATCTAATACGAGTCCCTTGATTGTTGGACGATTTCTGGCGTGACGACCTCTTTTGTGCGACCCGAACGTTCTGAGTCACTTGCGTTGCTAGGACCACAACAGAACTCAATAAACCACTTTTTAACCATTGAAATTGATGGTGCAGAATCCCCACAGTATTTATCAAGCCTTTCCTTGGCTTCGATAAAGGATTTTTTACGCAAAAAATAATGCTTAATCGCGAGGTTGTCTGCTTCTAATGACTGTCAAACACAAACTAAATAGCGCTGCTTGTTCAAAATTTTACAGTAGTCTATTAATCGGTAGCAGTTGATGGGAGCAGTATTGCATTTAAAGTTAGTGTAATTCAAAAAGTCACTGACTTTTTATATTGCCTTCGTATTAAAAGAATAAATATAATAGTGGCACAAAATATTGCATTGCATAGAAGGTGTCCAGCTGATAGTCGAGAGTCTGTCTTATGATTCGTAGCAGTTGGAAAAAGTCTAATTTTCCACACATGTTCAGGATATATTTAAAGGATATTATGGTTAGAGACAACATATAAACCGTGCTTACCGATCTAGTAAAAATACGGTGTTTGATAAAGCAAAACCTTCCGACTAGTTAAAGCCCAAGCTATTGTAGTAAAAAGTCTTCTGTCTTCTCGCAAACTAGTATACGAGTTCAAATAGAGCTCTATCTGTTTGGATACAGTCATTACTATCCTAGCATGACTAAGTCGTTTGCTGCCGCTTGCTATAGACGTGCTGGAAACGGAAGGTGGATACCTATATAGGCACGTCAAAAGGCATTTCTTTGAACTGAAGGGCGTGTTCAGGACTTATGTACGCACGTAAACTACTCGACATGACTCTGTGTAGACTGACAATCCACGATATTTACCGGCAGACCATTACCATCTTCACTAACTCCCGTTCCGTGAATGTCGTCATCGGAGTTCAGTCTCCATCAATTGCAGAGGAAGAGCTTCGGCTAACCGAGGTACTCTGGCACAATTACGGTATGAACACTGTAGTAGGTTAGCCTCTTACCCATCCAGACTAGATCCGGACATACCCAACTCAACTAACACGCTCCTCATGTTTTGTCCGACCCCACCTAAGCAGTACGTTTCCTGCTGATATGTATTAGTGATAAAGAAAAGCGAAGTTAGTATTATTTATAAGATCTCGTCATCGCGTACATTAATAATTCTACTTAACCCAGCTCTTCTAACATGGCAGCTGTTTCCTAAGTACTATACAATTTGGGTTATAATAAGATATCTTCTACATAAACCCATTGGACCCAAGCAAGCGCTAACAAAGTTAATTTAAGTATTTAAAAGTCCGCAAACCCAAAACCCAACTTAATTCCTTTACTAACAAACCAGAAAGCACATTTAAAATTCATAAAAACTATATATCGGTTTGCTAATTATTTTCTTCTCTTACAGATGGCCCATGTTGTCGGCGTACCTAAGCGGGATCCTTGTCAAAACTGTCAGTTGCCCGTTTTTCTCGCCGAGCGCCTGCTAGTTGGCAAGAAAGTTTATCATCGCACTTGTCTAAAATGTGCGCGTTGTGGTTCCCAACTCACGCCTGGTAGTTTCTATGAGACCGAAGTAGACGGCGAATACTGCTGTGAAACATGTCCCGACGAAGAGGTGCAGCTTAATGAAGTCTCTAGCAGCGAACTGGCAGCAGATGGTGTACAGTTACGCCATGGAGACGAAGAGGAAATGCCTACCACCAGCAAATCTAGCGCAGCACTTCCAAAAGCCGCGCGTAGCTCCATCGCTGAACGGCTAGCCTTCTTTGAGCAATCGAAGAAGAGTGCTGGTGGTAACAGCAGAAGTGAAGCAGTAACTGGCAGCAATTTGCTGCTGCAGAAAAGTGTTTCCGATGAGGAGAAGAGCAAGAGTCTGCAGCGCATGGAAGCGCCTACAACCACGACAACGTCACCGGCGTACAAGATGAATAGCGCGCTTAGCAGTTTTCTCAATGACACTATCGATGGTGAGGGCGAAGATGCGGAGAGTTTATCCAACACAGTTGAAAGTAAATCGGGCGCAGAAACACAAATGGAGACATCAGACACAGAAAACGATACAGACACGGAGGCGAGTTTGGAAGACGTGGCCGCCCCTGCATTGCCCACAACTCAGCCACCTTCGGCGGTGGAAGAGGCAGGCTCGGAAAATAAAAGCGAGAAAGTGAAAGCTGGAAGATTTACAACCACTGCGCAATTACAGTTGGCCACTGCGCCAAACGAAGCCGAAGCCGTAAAAGTAGCAGCTGTTAGTGGCCAAATACAGGTGGATGAATTAGCTAAAAAGACGAACGACAACAGCACTGAGACCACGTTGGAAAATATGAAAACTGAGTTGCAATTGAATTTGGCAGCAACTGGAAAACAAGAAAATGTAATTACTAATACAGCGAGCCTAACAGAACCTGAAGCCCACGTCGATCAACAAGCAGATAACGCAAACAACAATGGCCGCCATCAGAAGGACGATTTGGAGAACGCCCCAACAAAATTGGCAGCAGAACAAAAAGCGCAAACAAGCCCAGCAGCAGCAGTTAACTTAGATTTAAGTGAACCTAATTCTAATGAAGATGTTACCAAAGACCAAATTGCAGATACAATTGTAATTGATGCAGCAACTGCACAGGCGCAGCAGCAGGTACAATCAACGGTATCAAACACTGAGAAACTTGCAGAACTGCGAGCAAATCTCAGTGAATTGGATACTGAGAGTCGGACTGAAAATATGGATACGTCTGTGGAGAAGCCTGTTGAAATGCGCATAAAGTCACTGGAGTCCCCAGAGGATGTTGCAACCACCGAACGACTCAGTGTGGTGCGTGCGCGACTGCAACAATTCGAAGTAATTGCAAACAAACGTAATAATAATGCTAATGAAGAGAAACGCAGCGATAATGATACACGTAATGATAATAATACTGACCATAAGATAAGTGACGCTGAAATGGATAGTACTAACACTCCTAGCGATAAGAAGTTACTGAATACTGGTCATGAAGTGGCCACGAAACTGGATGAACAGGTCTCTATGACATCATCCACGCCAAATGTAATTAAATCTAAAACAATTGAAAATGTGAAAAGAGTTAATCTAGAAGATGAAGCAAAATTGCGAGCTATGGAAATGGAGAAGGCGGAACAAATTGAAGCGAAAATACAGGAAATCAAGGAAATCGAAAAGCCAAATGTAAATGAAGTGCCTTTAGAAATGGAAACTGAAAAAGACAATAATGTAGAGTTAAATGTAATTGATAACGAGTTTAAGCCCGAGGAAGAAACCCCGAAAATAGCAGTAAGTGAAGTGGAAGTAACAACAGTAAATACAGAAACTGCAAAGGAGTTGGCAACTCAGTCACTATTGACTAGCGGCGACATCGTCAACGCACCAGCAATAAAGTCACCAACTACGCCCAGCAAAATCAACCCGGATGAATATCCCGAAGATTTGAATCCCTTTAAATCGGAAGATGAAGATGAGGAACTAGATGCCAATAAAGAAAATGTCCAAGAACAATCAGTCGAATTAAGAACCCCACAACTGCGTGGCAGCTATACAACACCGGCAAAGTCTGCAGAGAAAGCACAAACTCTCAATCCATTCGATAGTTCCGATGATGAGGTCGAATTGGAGAAGACATCACGCAACTCAACGGCAGCATCTACGCCATCAAGCGGCAAAGTGCCACCACCACGTCCACCACCACCGCGCATATCACGTAATCCTTTCGGTGAGGAGCCCGAGGAAGATGCAGCGAGTTTTTCACGANTAGATGCCAATAAAGAAAATGTCCAAGAACAATCAGTCGAATTAAGAACCCCACAACTGCGTGGCAGCTATACAACACCGGCAAAGTCTGCAGAGAAAGCACAAACTCTCAATCCATTCGATAGTTCCGATGATGAGGTCGAATTGGAGAAGACATCACGCAACTCAACGGCAGCATCTACGCCATCAAGCGGCAAAGTGCCACCACCACGTCCACCACCACCACGCATATCGCGTAATCCTTTCGGTGAGGAGCCCGAGGAAGATGCAGCGAGTTTTTCACGTCGTTCCAGTTTGTCATCATCATTGACAAAGAAGGCACCTGTGCCAACACCTAGAACAAATATGTAAGTACATTTGATTTTCTTAAAGAAATGATTAAAAAAAAAAATCCATTTCCAATAGTCTAGTTTATTCTATGAAGCTGTCGACATTTTAAATGCATGAAAAGCTGTTGTATTTGTATTTGTTGTTGCCACGTGTATTCGCCGCTCTAAGAAGATGTGTATTTCGTTCAAGTGTTACTGCTGCAGCATCTTTATTACACATATCCACAACGACGTTTTCATTCATTCATATTTATGACATTTTTGCCACCGCCCACTATGCCGCTACTTGTTGCCTCTTGCGACATGCGACAGCGTCAGGTCGATAATTAAATGCTAAATTGTGCGGCGGACGTGCATATGCAAATTACTTCCATTTTTGCTGTCAACCTTCTACTTGCTAGTGAAATTATTCCATCATTTCCACTGAATGTTTAGTTTACTGCTGCTTAGAAGATGGGATTTTTCCAAATGATGATTCTGATTTTTAAGTAGTGATGATAGCAGATGTAGCTAAACAATTATAAAAGCTGGTGAGTTGCAGATTAACCCAGATTGATGTGTAGGTTGAACAGCAATTTGACTTTCATTTTTTGGTTTCTGAGACCGCGGCTGGAAAGGCAGGAGTGTAAAATTACATACGATGTTATTTGTTCGCGTTTTTATATTATGTTTTAAACCTAATACATTCCTTGGATCTGTGCCATATAGCCAATTTACTATTTTTTATCGACTTCAAAAAAGGAGGATATTATTAATTCGTCGGAATATTTTGTTTATGTATGTGTGGTATAACTTTGGATCCAGTTCCCCGATTTCTATAATTCTTCTTTTAAAGAGGTAGTCCTATATCTACTAATTTGGTTTAGATCCGATCATTGTATCATGAAGAAATTAACGGTCTCTTAAATTTTTATATGGGAACTGAAGTCAGTTTTTCAACAATTTTATTGGACTTGAGGCCGTTTTTAATGAAAAACTACATTGTGGAAAAGCAACAATAATTTATAACAATTAATTTTTAAGCAAAAAAACAAAACCGACTTCAACTCTCAGTAGTTTAGGAGTACCGTTATTTTTTCTTGATCCAATGATCAGATTTAAACCAAATTAGGATGCGACCCCAGTTGACTCAGCCAGTAGTCTACGCACTGTGCTTAGTTCGCCTTATAAACTCTTGTTTGCTTTTTTCTACTTTTTGCATTTGTTAAGTCAACTACAATCAAGCGCAGCTATTCCAGTGCTATTTAAACTTGATCATGTGGTTATTGGTTTTTGGGGCATCGGCATGAATAACCAGCTGCAGCCTAACCTCCTTCGTCCAGAGAGATGGCCCTTTTACTAATGTCATTGCTGGGCGCCAAAATCGAACAATCGTCAGTGTATGAGTTCAGCGAAATTCTCTCTGCTGGCTGGGGAAGCTTCGAAATCTGGAAATTAAGCAAAAAGAGGGCAGAGATCACCACCCTTTGGGAGACCCTACTTAATTTTCTTTGAAGTTTAATCTCGATATAATTATCGTTATATCGTTATATATATAATATAATGACTTTTAGCAGCGTAGAGTGACATACGGTGTCGAAAGCCTTTAACACTTCCAGCGCTACTAGGGCGGTCCTACCACGTGCGCTTGAGGTTAAATTTGTGGCGAACTCTTTCAATGATCTGTGGGGCTTTTCTTCTCTAAACCCTCCATTCTAAGATTTTTTCACCTCCGCTCGTTGTGTTATTTTTTGTTTTGTAGGAAAATTCTACTATTTGTTGTTTTCTTTTTGTGTTTTAATTATTTAAATAATAATTTCATTTTCGTTATTGGTTTAAATAATCTTGACCTAGCCAGTAAACCCGTCTGTTAAGTTGATATTTCCAGTTTTTATTTCAATAAAATAAATATAACTTTGCTCAGATACTCCATCTGCATTTCCAAATTATGATCGCTGCACTTATAAACATTGAGTGTAAATATAACTCCACTCACAAAATCATTAATTTCTCACTCCAACTGCACTCAACGCACAGCTAACTCCAACTCAACTCAAAGTAAGTAATTATTTTTAATTAACATAAAAGTAAAACATTTAGCTGCAGCTGGTGTGCACGGCTGTGGGTATGTCAGTCATTCTAGTCAGCACATGCGAGTCGGTCCAAGTGGTTTTAGCCAACGCAATAAAAGACAAAACAATAAAGTTTCGCTAGTGAATATAACTTCAAAGTGATTTATCTAAGAAGACTACATATTTCTTTATTAGTCGAAAATATACATAGAGTGTTTCCAGTGCCAGCAATTAGTGCNTAGTGAATATAACTTCAAAGTGATTTATCTAAGAAGACTACATATTTCTTAGTANTGATTTATCTAAGAAGACTACATATTTCTTTATTAGTCGAAAATATACATAGAGTGTTTCCAGTGCCAGCAATTAGTGCTTAGTACTCGTATGCAGTGAGCATCAGTCCCGAGCGAAGTAACAAAACTGGCAGAGAGGCAAAAAAAAAACTGACTGTTAGCATCAAAAGTATGCCGAAAATATTGCTTAAGACTTCTTGTTTATAAGTGTCAGAAAAGTGAATGATTGTTTATGGAAGCATGCGCATGTTTTATGGAGCGCGCGCTAATTACATACCTTTCTGTTTTTGCGCCATAGCAACCAAGTGTGAATGAGTTGTTGGTCCAAGGCAGTTTGTCATTCAGCTTTTTGTTTTGTGATAAATGTCATCGATATGAGGCTGCGGAAATTTGGGTTGTAGCTGCAGTTTCTTAACATCGGTTATGATCTACATAAGAACATTTTTTTTTTCGTTGATTCTTTGCCCCTTTTTTGGTTTTGTAATATTTTTTTTCGTGGTATACGATTCGTTTCATAATTTAAACCTACTTTTGTTATTTGCTTAGTTATACGTTGGACATTAAACTTACTTACTGCAAGGCTCTCAAATCAAACATTTCCGAGTAAATATTTTTCTAATTAACAGCTAAAGAAATTTCGAATCAATGCTCTCCTCTTCGCTCTTTGCTTGGGACCACCCAACGTGTTTAGTAATACAATACAGAGCAGTTCAACGCACTATCCATAACACTTTAACTCTTTTGTAATGCAATCGTCGCTTATTAACATAAGTATTCATTAGAGTACTATACAGCATACGAGGTGTGGCTATTAAATAACGATACTGACGCTGTTGAAAATTTTATTTTATAATTTGTTGATTTCAAACACATTTACTTATTATGGCATTAAACATACACGCCTTTTCTATATAACTACAGCGTCCCATGCGAATCTCCCATCGTTCAAAACAGTGCTGGAAGTCCTCTTCTGTCAGCTTATTAACGGACTCAAATCTTGTTCCTTTTAATGCAGATATTAACTATTACCTTGTTGGAGAAGCCATTACTTGTCCTTCCTATATACATATATAGGTATTAATGTTAATAGTTTAACCTTCAGTTTAACCTTTACAACCATTTGTCGTTGCACTACTGTTACATTCAATATTTTGGCCATACTTTACTTCAAAAGGCACTTGACTGTTAAATTTGGCACAAAGTGAGAAAATGTCACTTTTGAAAAAAATAGTCATCTATTTGCAATACATTTTTGTGAAATCCTTTGCCTGTATTTCTTTTTCTCAAGTAAAATTTTCTACATTCTAAAGTTTATAGAACTGGTTTCTTATTTTGGCTTCTTATTTTATTGCGAAATGGAAAGGATAAAAAATTACATTTTTTCGGCAATTCAATTTTTTTATTTGACACATTTTGGCACTTTTTTATTCTCAATATGGCACCTCATAGCTAAGGATAGTTGGCAGCCCCGCTTAGACACTGCTTTCGTAAACACAGCCTTCACGCTAAACAGCTGCCGGTGCACTGCGTTTGCCGCATCGTAGTACTTCTTATGTAGCAGCGCCAGTCTTGTTATTTAATAGCCACACCTCGTATTTCTTTAAATCCACTTGCTTTCTGATTTCTTATTACCTGCGTTGAAGATTCTTACTACTTCCTACACATTTTTGTATGGTTATGTAAATGTGTAAGTACATACAAACATACATAGATACATACAAATAACTAAATATTCATATTAGAAATTATACACTTGCATCCATACAGGTTTGCCTTTTGTGAAATAAGCCTGTGCAACTGGAGGTTTACAATGCCAAGCGTTGTTATTAATTGTTTTTTTTTTTAATCTTTTTTCAAAGGAGCATCATCACTACAAGTGCAAGCAATGCAATGTGTTATTGTTGTCGTTAGCATTAAATGGCCTTACATTTCGGATTGTCACTGTGCACTTATGGTTGCCGACAATAGATATGGAACATCATCTTTCTATGTTCGGAGTTTTGTTTGCTTTAGGAGCACTTTTTATTGTTGTTTGTGACACAATTACCTTAAATACTTACTTACAGTAGATACATATTTTTGTGTGCCTATGGAAATTTACAGCATTAGGTAAGATGTTTTTGAGTGAGTTAAAAATAAATTTTTGAGTATTTGGTTTACCAATAGTTGTACTTTTTTGTATTTTATAGTCGACTTTGCAAATGGTCAGAGGCGCTAAGAATGTCGTCTAGATATTTTTTCGTTCAAAATGTTTTTTTCTCACACTGTTTTAGCCACTCATTTGCTATATTAGGGTGGTGCATTTATTTTCGATAAGTATTTTAAAAATCTTGGTCTATAATGGACGACAAAAATTTGTCACCTAAAATTTATTGCATCACAGCACAAACTTATTTGGTATTTTTTTTAAATAAATAATAAATTTTAAATTTCAGCAGCTAAATTGATTTTCATAAAAATATTTTTAATTTAAATTTTGACAGTTCAACCGAAGAGAATATTTGCCACTCCAATATGTACCGGTACACTAATTCGGTAAGCCCGGCTATTGGATGCAATGAGTATTATCAGCTAAATAGTTTCGGGGAATGATGCTAATTTGATTTATAACTTTGTATGACCTGCTGTGTTTTAATGTAATATTATTCATAATGATGGTTCTTGCGACCTTTCTACTTGTAGTTTAATATTAATATATCGGAACAAAACAGTATTTTTTTTTTTATTAATTTTTAAAAATTGACCTCGAGCCGGCAAAATATTAAACTACTGGTAATATTATTCAGAGTAAGAATGGGCCCAAGTTTCAAATGTAAACAAAACCATCAAACCCCAAAAAAACTTTAAATTTTTTACTAATTTGTCAAAGTGTGCATGAAAATTTGTTAAAAGCATATCTCACGACGGTTGACCTACCCTAGTGCATCCATCTATATATACATATGTATGTATGTACATTTAGCTTGTTCAAATATTTGTGGCTTTGTAACAAGCAACACAAAGTATATATCACACCAAAAATTGTGGTAAAATACTTGACCAGTTTTCCGATTGCCCTATATAAATGTGTGTTTACATGATTTTCAACATTTGCTTTTATGTTGTATTTTATTTTTATTTTTTTTTGCTTTAAGCTACATATTAGTGCTTCTAGAAAATGTCAATCCGGTGCGTGAGTTGGCTACTTTGCAAGTGTGTCAGCGCATTTAACGCATGCGCACAAGCTGCTTACAACGTCCAACCACTGGAGCTGGTGGCGTTGGGCGGGCGCTTCTTTGCTGCAATTTGTGCTCATTGTTATCAGTGTATAAGAGGAACACAAACACACACACACACACACACACTTTTTGCTATTCAGCTGACTTACAGCCGGATAGTGAATGGGCATTAAATTTGCTACTTTTTTATACCTTGTTTTGCTCGCATACCTTACACTATGTAGTTAAGCAGTTAAGCTCCCAATAAAAGCTGTTTTAACGTTTGTACTTTCTTTTGAACATACTTTTTTTTCTTTGTTTAGTCCCACCTATTTTGAAAACCGACTACACCTTTTTGAAACTTTATTTTTTTTGGCTTGTAATGCGCGCACAGCTTTAAGCATAGCTTCATATATGGGTATGCATTTGCAATTTTGTTTTTATGTACATATGTATGTACATGGTGTACCATATTTGCGCCATGCTACNTCTTTGTTTAGTCCCACCTATTTTGAAAACCGACTACACCTTTTTGAAACCTTATTTTTGTTTTGCTTGTAATGCGCGCATAGCTTTAAGCATAGCTTCATAAATGGGTATGCATTTGCAATTTTGTTTTTATGTACATATGTATGTACATGGTGTACCATATTTGCGCCATGCTAAATTGCCTCTTATTTCAGTTGTCAATCTTCGCTGGCAAAGCGCGGTTCTAAGTTAAATTTAACTTCCGCGGCGCGTTTTTCATATATTAAATTTTGATTTTTTAAATGAATTTTAAAGTAATACCTAATCTGGCGTCGCGCATTTACGCTGTGTAATTCCCAAGAATCATTGCGGGTGTGCATATTATATTACGTAGTTTGATTACCTTTATGAAAATGTGCATACACCTACATACATATCAACATACAGTTTTTGTTTAACTATTTTTAGTGTTTCATTACTTTTTGTTTTGTTGTGGGCGACGGCGGCGGCAAGTACATGCGTTCTAGCGTGATGACTGGCAGTTCTGAGCTTGTTTTCTTTTGCGCTATAATTGTAATTGCTTAGCTATTGAAAATATTTGGTTAAAATTTTAACTGGATTTAAAAAAACAAAAACCCCTAGAAGAGAATAAGCAACTAGTTTACCCCAAAGGAGTTTATGCAGTAGATTTTAGATTTCATTGCAAATATTTTATTGAATGACTTTAAAACAGGGACCTAGAACGCGTTCCATTTTTGGTTTAGTTCTGTACGAAACTTTTGGGAACGTTTCTAATGAGAACAAAATAAGAAGGAAAGTATGGAGCGCGTTTTCAAGGAGGATGAAATAAGGACAAAAGTCTGGAGAACGTTCTGCTGGAGAACAAAACGAAAAAAAAAACGTTTTGAGAACATAAAGTTAAGAATGAGCGACGCCTTGGAATGAAAAATTGTTTCAGTGAGAATCGCGATTATTAATTCTAAGCCAGCAAAGCTGTATCATTTCAACTTCCATATCGTTTATCATTAGGGTGAAATGTGTATTCATGGAACAATTTTTCATTTTATGTGCACGAATAGTTCGTATCTTAAGTCTTTTGCTGACTTTATTTGCATAGTTATCTTTCAGTTAGTAAATTAGTTAATTTTTTTATTTAAGTGTAATCCAACTATGATTGCCGTATAAAATTTTTCGTTTGTACCATGTTTTTTCCTAAAAATCAACCAAAATAGGTAAAACTGCAGCAAGCTGAAATGTTTTTTTTGCGAATTTGTCAGTTTTGAGTAAGTTGATTAAAACTAATTATTTTTTTTAAATTTAAAATATGGGTCGATCTATATCAGAAACTATATAAATGAAGTTTGATTTCTTAGGATTCTGACTATGCTGTTTTGTAGCCTATTTAATTCTAGTAAAATAAAAAGCAAGTTTCAAGTCGCTAAAAATTGTCGTTGATTTCTTAAATTTTTTTTTGTGGAGGATGTAGCGTACTTTCTTCCATAAAACGCATGAACAAAATTGATTATTCCAAGGGCCGTTTTCTCAAGAAGGTTTTAAAATTTATCTGAAAAAAAAATGTTTGAAGGCCAGATAAATTTTAAAACCTACGTGAGAAAACTGCACAATAAATACTTAAGTAAACATAAGTTGCCAACAACATGATTTTGAATTTTGCTGCTTTTATTTTACTCGCAGCTGTAATCCGCTATTATCACAACTAGTCAGTCTGCTTTAAGGTTTTTCGGAACTAATAATGCAAAAGTCATAGAAAAGTCACATTCTTATATTTTTTTCTTTTTTTTCTTATATTCTTTTCGAGTCCTTTTTATATTTTCAACGGCTGAGATAGGGCGTTTTTGAACTAAGTTCTCAAACCAAATTTTCTTCAACCATTTGCTGAGATAGAGCGTTTTCGAACCGGCAGCCTTTTGCAACAGAGTGTATGTACATATATTCTTGGGCAATTAACCTGACTGTTGTGGTAACTATGTCAAAGGTCAATTGTACAGTGCCATTTAAAAAAAAGCGCCTTGCGGCAGGTTCCCGTGGGACTCAATAAATATCAACATTTTCAGCTTTTTAAATACCACGCATGCGCAGCTTTTGTGCCATTTTATTATTAGTCCATTATGATGGGGCTTAATGTATGTACATATGTACATAAGTATGTACTTCATAATCTAACTGTAGAATGTGCCGCTATTATTCGGGTTATTCCATTTCTGTAACTAAGGGACCCCGATAACTTTAGCGTTGAACGGCTGTTGTTGTTGTTGTCTTGCATTTATGGCTTCCTGGCTTGCGGCATGCCCATATAGTACTTATTAAATACAAATATAATTGTAAAAACGTACATACATATGTATGCTAATGAATTAATGAGTGAGTTGTCTGAGTGATCAGGTGAATCGGTTGAATTAAATGGAGGTTCTTATTAAAATGTTTAAGGTTCTCTTTGCGTTTTATGCAAGGTGTGTGCGCTTTGCTTTTTGTTAGTGTGCAAGTGTGGAGGTGCCAAGTTGTTTTGTGATTTGTTTTTGTTTCTTTTTTTTTTGCGCGCATGGTCAACGAACCACTGCTATGATAAAGACACTTGCGCCTCATTTGAGTTCCGCACTTGCGCCTGTTATAAAGCAGTTTCATTTTAATGAGTAGTCGCCTTTTTTAATATCAGTATGCGTACATATATATTTAGTCGCATACACACGCCATTACCTATATCATTTGTCTGTGGTGTGCGCTTTTAACAAATTTCTTTTTAATTAAGAACTTTGCCAAGAGTACACTTCGGAGCCAGTTTACTCATCGGGGCTTGCTGAAGAATAACAAAACATTTGTGCCTGTTAAGCTTTGGCTTAGGTTTTTGTAATTCTTTTAGAACAGTTGGTATTCACTTGCCAACGACATCGGCCATGGAAAACTCAAACGAAAGTTAAATTCAGTTATTAGCGGCGATAGTCAGTAGAGTGTTGCATTAGACCGAAACAAACAGCTGTGGATATTTCTTCTTCTTTTTTTGAACAAATAAAACAAGAGAATGAGCAATAAATTGTGTTGCTTGAAGAAGCTTCTTGTACCAAATTAAAAACGTCAAATACCTTTTTAATCAATTTAAAATGTCGACAGCAATATAATAGACACTGCACTTTTGCACCAAGACAAAAATTCGAAACGTTTTGCAATTAAAAAAATGCTAAAATACAAATATATACCACCGCACAAACTTAGATCACAATCACAAAATCCCACACCGGAACCCACGCCTCGTCTCACCAATAAATCTGCACAATCCGCCTCACCGTATATTCTGCAAAATTCCAGCGACTACTATGGCAGCGCCAATTCGCTTGCCAGCGCAACTCACAACAACACACCGCATAGTCTGCAACGCAACGCGGAAGTACGCGGCTCCAACAACTCTCTGACCTCTTCAGCGGGCGGCACCATACGCTCGCGCAAAACCCGCAAAGCACCCGCGCCACCCACACCGCTCGCCAAGGAGCTCTTCCCTGCGCCTACATCCACCACACTGTCCACAACCGCTGTTGATCGACAGACGGATAGTTCGAAAGCATCTACACCCAGCTCGAGCACTGTTGGCACACCGAAGTTAGGTCGCAAAAAACGTCCTGCGCCAGCGCCACCAAAACCTGCGCGACTCGATCCCACTTTACTACAAGCGGAGCAGCAGCAACCAAATCAACAGCAACAGCACACAAATGGCACGGCGTCAAAAAACTCGCTTAATTACCCTCTGCAAGGCGAACAATCCGACTCGAAGTTATCCGACGAAGAAAAAGCTTTGTTGGAGGGTAATCAGCTGTCAGTGGACAGCTTAAAGTTGCCAGTTGGCGCGGTGATCAACAGCACAGCTAGTCAGCGTAGTTCACGTCGTGTCATACCGCTCGACGCTAGCCTGCTGGAAGACGAACAGGACGCTGATGCGAGCGCTCAAACCAATAGCGACGGCGATGCCAGCGGCAAATGCGATGACGCCAAGCAAAAGCAACAGCTATTGCGCTATAGCGAGCAGGAGGAGTCGAATGTCGTGTATCGACGTGTCCTTGTGCCACCTAGCATGGAGACGCCGACGCGCGAATCGAATCCGCTGCTCGAAGGGCTACACGATCGCCAGCTCGAGAAGTTGAAGGACAACAAGGAGGCGCAAAATCGCAATCGACAATCACAAATATCCGCTTCGTCCGGCGCAGAAGACTGCGACATGTCGTCGACGCCATACAACAAATCGGCGCATGGAAAGTGGAAGCGGCGCAAGGGCCCCGCGCCAGCGTTACCCATACCGCCGCGCAAGGTGTTGCAAATGTTGCCGCTACAAGAGATACGCCACGAATTGGAGATCATTGAAGTGCAGCAGCAGGGCCTCGAAAAGCAGGGTGTTATATTAGAGAAAATGATACGTGATCGTTGCGAGGGACAAAATGGTGAACTATTGGGTACAAATGCTACAGCAGATGATGCGCCAGATGGCAAGAAGCCATCTAGCAGTGGTGGAGCGGAGCATGTGCAGAACTCGAAGGAGGTGGAAGATTTAATACTGCAACTATTCGAGCTGGTCAACGAGAAGAACGAACTGTTTCGCCGACAAGCCGAGCTAATGTATTTGTAAGTATTGAATATTAAAAAAAAAATAACTACATTTTTAGCTAATCGCTCGTTAATCCAATAGAGCAATAGTTAATTTAATCAAAATGTCATGCAATCAATCAAGTATTTAATCGAAAAGCTAGCTTAATTAAGCGCTGATATAAGACAAGTTCAGCATGCCGATAAAATTTTGCTTCAATCAATATTGCGTTTAGTGAAAAGAATACCTATGACCTACGCCAAAAATTCAATGGTTAGCGCACGGGTGAAAACCGACGTTTTTAGGTGAATCATTCGACAAAGTGAATTGCAAAACGGTGGCACGAAACCGATAAATTGATTTTTTACTGTCCTATGGGAGCGATTTCTATATATAAACATCGCAATGACCCGTGCCAGGAATCGTCATTTCAAAAGATTTAATAACGAATATATGAAGTATATATTCTAGTGTAAAACACACGCAATAAAAAGCCACAGGATCTAAATGTACATTTGTATGAAGCTTAATTCGCAGCCGTTAAATTAAGATATTTATTTGTTCGGTCAAATTGAATCGCTATTTTGTAATCTTTATTTTCTCGATTAAAATAATCCTTATTTTGTATTATTTGTTTTTTAGCTATTTATGGCCTTATAACAATTATATTTAATATTGTTTATTTAGTTGAATAGTTATTTTGTATTTTTTTGTAGATCATTTTTTAACCTATTTAAGTGTTTTATGATCTAAAAAACTAATTCTGAATATAGAGGATATAACACTGTGGAACAAAAATTAACTTTAGAGTGCGCATATACCAGGCTGTATAGCTGTTGGTCATAAGAAGAATGCCTCATACCCAGTTTTACTAGATCAATTCGTGTTCTCGAGAAAAAAAAAATCACGATCCAAAAATCTGACTACCTATAGCGGCCAAACTTTTTCCTCCCTCCAAGTTTTGAAAATTCATCGTTTTTTGTTTGTCCTATATTTGCTTTGTATGCTATTTTCACAAATATAGGCCAAAAAAGATAAATTAAAAAAAAAAGTAAATTTGGTTGCTATATTCAGATTTTTGGATCATGCGCCTAAAAGATGCAGCGATTCCTGTTCTCAAGTTACATACCTGATGACAGTGCGAATGGAAATTATAATAGCGAGGTTTTAGATTTTTAAACAATAATTTTATTATGAAATTTTCCTATCATTTTCTATACAGAAATTTCAAATGTTCGGTTCGTACGAAAACAAGAATAGGCCCTATTGTGTTCCATAGTGTAATATGATCGAAAAAGTAAAAATCAAAAATGCATCGAAAAAATTAAATCATAAGATTTTATAGAAATTTAAATCCAATTTTAACGGTTAAATTGTGATTTTTATTATGAAGTTCATAACCTTTATGGTCGCTGCTATTTATCCCCTATGTATTATTAAGATTTAGCTTAGCTACATAAAATATAACAAATTTCTATCCTTTTCTCAACCAACAGACGTCGCCAGCATCGCTTGGAACAAGAGCAAGCCGATTTAGAATATGAAATACGCGTGCTAATGGCGCAACCCGAACGCAATAAAACCGATTCGGATAAGGCGCGCGAAGAAGCGCTCATTGCACGCCTGGTGGAGGTGGTACAATTACGGAATGAGGTGGTGGAATGTCTGGAAATGGACAGACTACGCGAAGCCGAAGAAGATTTGGTGAGTGTATATCAAAATTTAACTTTCGCTTTATTTCTTAGTTAACAATTATCTGATAAAGAATATGAAATAATCCAATTTTCAATATTTCGCTTGCAGAGCATTAAACAACGCTTAGAAATGCATAGCGCGCAGCGTGAAGAAGACACCGACTCGCGAAAAATTACAGCTAAGCTTTCTAAGAAGGAGAAAAAGAAACAAAAGGAATCGAAAAAGCTAAGCAAAAGCAAGAAAATTGATGCAGACAAGGTTAGCTAAATCCCCACCCAAAATTTAACTGCAAATCACTAATGGTTTTTTTTCACGCTATAGGATGCTGACGAATCTGAATTAAATATGGATAAGCAGAAATTGAAAAAGAAAAAGAAGAAATTTCTCTTTTAGCAACCAGAATGAGACGCATTTCGGGCCGTTGAATGTAGTAAATAGTAAGCAGTGTTAGAAAAGTTACAGTGACTTACAGCCGCCTTGTGATACATTTATGACGAAAATTAATTTGAGAAAAAATTGCATATAATTTGTAAAAGTATAGTTCCAAAAGAAAAGCAAAGTGCAAGCGTTTATTAACACGCTAGACATTGGACATTGCATACCCTTCTCGTTTACTAACAATTTAGGCATGCTTAGTGGGAAGCATTACATTGTCGCCGCATTTAAACGATTCCATGCTCGTACTTTTCATCTTACGCTAATTTCTCATATAATTACAATTTCATTGGCATTCAATTTAAAATATAAATCTAATTTGGAAAAAAATGTATATTTTAATTTTATTTTGATTTTCATTGCTCTATTGAAATCTCAGCATTTTCAGTTTAATTAAATAAGTACGTACACCTGTCTTCAGACTATTTTAATAATTATTAATTACAAATATGAATTACTAACAAAATTATTTTTAAACTTATTTACACACAGTGTTACGTTGATAATATTAGCTAAATATAAGCTTAAATATATATATAAAAAAAAGATATATTTTGCATGTATTATATACTGTCAAATTAAACCTTACATACATACAATCGTACATACCTATATGAACTTGCATTTTCTTTATATACTTAAAGTCATTTTATTAATTTGGCTTTTCTTTGTTAAGAGGCCAGTCATGCCGCTAAAGGATGTAAAATTTGTTTAAACTAAATTCAAAGCATTTTAAGGCAATGCCTTTAATGGGGAATTCAATGGCGTTCAACAAATGTCAATGTTTGTACATACATACATGTTAGTATATACATAGATGACTATGTACATACACATGTGCATATGTATAAACCCTGCAGGGAAACCGCGGACTAGTGAATCAAATTTCTAGTTCCGTACTAGGTCTTTATCGCCAAAAAGGAACTAGTCCGATAGGAACTATATCCCCACCAGTCCAAAATCGGCGAAAAGTGGTACTTTTAAGAAACTAATTTTTTCAGTTTTTTTCACTACAAATCGATATCTAAAGTGACGAATTTAGAAATGGTTCGGAACTATAGAAAAAGTGATGCAGAACGAACTAGATCCTATTTGTCGAATTTAGAACTATTTCGGAACTATCGAATAAGGGATGCAGCAGCAAATACGCTTCTATTCTGTGCTTCGCAGATGCTATTTCATAGTTTGGTAATACAAAACAAAGCTTTGTGTTAACATATTAACATCTTGGAGCCTTCTGGAATCTAACCAATAACAGCGAGCACCTCTGGAAAGTCAGCTACAGTAAGGTAAGTAAACGTACATTTCTTTACAATCATTCAAACAAATTAAATTTCAAATTGAAAAAACGTTTCTTTGAAAATAATGTAAAATCGCACACGGAAGAACCGAAAAGATTGAAAAATCGTGATACCTTTTTCTTTCGTCTGTCGATTTTAGAACTGGTTCGGAACTATAGAATTTAGGAATAGTTCGGAACTATCGAAAAAGTTATGCAGCGGGGGGCAATTGACACTTCCTAGGACATCGCCATGTTAAATTCGCCAGTTGCTTGCATGCAAAAGAGATTTATCGCGAACCAGTACTAGGTCTAAATGTACTAGAAGCGCACCAGTTCAGAACTAGAGATTTTCCCCACAGGGAAGATGTGTAAATTACAGATAACTCGGGTAAAAACATACATAAATACATATGCCTTAAAATAAATTATACATGTATTTGTTTCTTTAGGAGGCTATATGCAGTTTTGAAAAGAAACTTACACGGGCACAAAGTAACATAAAATACCTAGCACACATCGAGGGCTTATATTCAATACTATCTATCTGCAATTTTCACAAAAACTACTTTGTGATGGTAGGACCCATCTGGGACTTACCTGTCATCACTGTTCTGACTTTGCAATTTAATAGTAAATTCTTCTGCCCAGCGTTATATAAGGTCAGCATTAATATCACCGATGACAGTTAAGTCTTAGGTGGATTTTTATATCAGCCTATTATATTTTCCAACTACTTGTTTATTTATATATATATAAATTTTAAAATCTTGCAAAGATAATCAAGGCGAATTCATATAAGGTGGTAGCGGTAGTACAAAAACAAAAACTAACATGCCTTTTGTTTTCGTTTTCGGTACACAAATGTCAAATTCCAGCTATTCTTCGCTCAAGGAGGAAGAGGGAAAGAAAATGCCAACACTCTTTCTTTCGCATTCACTCATAAGGAGTTTTGACATATGTGTACCGAGGCGAATTAAAGCAGCTGTTCTAGCAACACCACCTTATATAAATTCGCCTTGAAAGATAATAAAAAAGGCAGTTACATACATACATATGTCAGAAAACTTATGAATCGATAACCAAAACTTAATCACAGATAGGTGATAAGATGTAGATAAGGATATATCTTAATTCGGTAACTAAATAGTTCGGTATCTCGGAGTGGCGATTCTGACTTTTAATTTAGCGTAAATGTAAGCTATACCATTAGGACTGGGTTCCATAGACAATTTTTTAACCTAATATTAAGTTCCCTTCCTTAAAAACTTTAATTTTATTTTGGCTTAATACAGATGTTCCAGCGCTAAATTAACCTTTAATGTTGCCAATTTTACGCTGTTGATCATTGGGGCCCATACCTGTTGTTATTCTCCAACTTTATCCCGAAACGTTCAAAGTTTCCTTCTTTGATAATGTGCCGATAAATTTATTTTTAATAGATTTTCTTATCATTTTGAAAATAAGTTTGATATTTAAAATTCAGAAAAACATAATAAAAAGTGATTGGTCTGAAAATTAGCGTAACCCGAGATTTTTCTCACAAAGCGCAAAACTAGCCATAGCGGCCCAAAATTTCTGAGTGTCAACTAAATTCATTGTTTTAAGTAAAAAAATTTCGCAAGTCTTAATTCTGTTATCTGAAAAACAGAGGCGTAAGAAATCACTACCAAAAGTTTTGAATTGTTTTTGTATGCGTTTGCATGCAGCTCAAAGAAAGCGGGGAAGGGTGAAATAGGCCGGAGCGCGATCAGCTAGTCGTAGTACAAAATGTCCTATGAAATCAAATCGACACCATTTTTTCGACGCATGGTTAGTGCCAGCAAAAAGAATGGCCAGCTGCAGCGGTTGAAGGAGGAATATGAACGTATTAAGGCGTTCAACGATCGTACAATCGAAATAAAGATGCGTCAGATACGCTTGAAGCGCCTATTTCGCGAGATCGAAGAAATCAAGGAGTCATCATCGCAGTGCAAACAACGACGCGTAGCCCCAGATCGTTTGAAAACAAACGAGGAGATGCGTATGGAGACGCTGGTCAAGGCCAAGGCGCTGGGAAAGGAGTATTCGAAAATGAATGCGTTGGCTGATCGTTGTACATCGCGTCTTTATACAATGGGGTCGGGTGCTGCTGTCGAGTGCATGCCTTCGCGCATCGAATTGGAGCGCAAAGCGCGTTCAGATAAACGCATCAGTTATGGTAATGATTGTTCGCGCATGAATATACAAAAGATTGCAACAGCGCATCGTAAGCCGGCTGGCAAGCAGGTACTCGCTGGGGAAAAACGACTCAATGCATTAAAAGAGAAACTAAAAACTCGACTATCGTTTGGCAACTCGTGTTCCCATCGCAATCTAGCGAAGAAAGTCAAGAAAGAAAGCCACAAAAAGACTACTGATGCCGCATCAATTAGCTTGTTAACCAACTCACAAATTGCACATATGCTGGAACGAGACTCCCAATGCCAATTCGCGTGTGCCGCTGAGTCTAATGAGCTGCCGATTATGTCGTTTACCGATTCTGCACAGCGTCGCAAAAGCATTGCCGATATATGCACAAGCAGCAGTTCTCGAACAATCGCCAACCAGCCAGATGGCACTGCCAAAAGTGAAGAAGATCCACATGTTCGCGCGAGACGACACTGGCGCAGGCTCGCGCTCATTGCACGCCATCGCCTTGACACACTTGGTCGTTGTTATATGCAACCTTCCATAGAAAATACCGAAGAAGAAGACTCGGAAGAGTATACTTTGCGCGGAATTTCCAATGACACTGACCTGCCAATTAGTCAACTGTGTGGCAAACTTGCGCCACCTGATTCGGAGAGTGATCTATCGCTCGGTGAGCTGTTGCTGAGCGTTGAGTCGCTCGCTCCATTGGAGATGCAACCACTGCCGGATCCTACGACAATTTGCACAGGAGCACGAACTACTGACGAGGGCACCAATCAAATGGATACGCGACGCAAGGTGCAGCAATATGTGAAAATAGGTAAGCCGATTGTGCATGCGGCACAGAAAGAGGCTTCAGAGTTAGGTTTTGAGAAGATTCGCAGTATTTTCGAACATCAGACTGCCGCAGCAGTAGAGGCGCACGAAATGGGAACGGAGAAGTAGAATAGCTTTTGCTGTATGTATGTATGTATGTCTCAATAGGCAGAAAGAAGATGCGGTGTACATTATTTTTGGATTAAAATGTAAAATTCTATGAGGATTGTATTTTTTTTTATTCAAGGAAACACGCCAAAATATTACAATTAGTCTTTAGTAAGTGAAAACAGCGTGAAGNTTATTTTTGGATTAAAATGTAAAATTCTATGAGGATTGTATTTTTTTTTAGTCATGGCAACACGCCAAAATATTACAATTAGTCTTTAGTAAGTGAAAACAGCGTGAACTTAAAATATTTTTATATGATTATTTTGGCATTTTTATACATACATAGATACATACGTATGTATATATTTAGAAGATTTGCTAACTCTTGTTTTATGTGCCAAGTTACAATGTTAGTATATTCGAATTTGCTGCTATTTCTTATGCAGGCGCTTACATAGACACACCATAGTTCATTCCAAATAGACTTAATCAAATAAACTGCCATTGTACCACAGCACAGTTAAAAATTTCAGTTAATAAAAAAATTTAAAAGCAAAATTAATAAACTTTACCTATTATTATACTTGTATGTACATTAGACCTTACAAACAAACAAAAAACGTTCGCCGTACGCTCCTGCGTCTAAAGTATGCAACACAAGTTTGCAACACAATTTCTAAATTTTTTTTACAGAAGCTAAAAGTCACCTTTTTACAATTTTCGGTAACACCAACATTTGGCAATAAAAAATTGATCTCTTTTAAATATGTAGCTCTAGTGGAATATAGAAATACTTCATTATAGAAAATAGCAAATTTTCTCCTTGAGGCAAAAACATCGATATAGCATACTTTAGGGTCCGACTGTAAATACCGAAGATATAATGAAAAATACGGCGATATAACAAAATAACGACCGCCGACCCCAACGTTCGGCGAAAAAAAAGTTTCTCTTCTGTACCAAATGACGCCAATTAGAAAAGGCCAAGTGAAGCCAAGTCCTTCTCCGCTTGGTCTTTCCATCGCAGTGGGGCCTTCCTCTTCCTCTTGAATATTTTCAGAGCTGGAGCGTCGGTGTCCATTAGAACGATATGGCTAAGCCAGCGGAACCGCTTTATTTTAATTCGCTGCACTATGTCCATGTAATTGTAAACCTCATTCAGCTTATCGTTCCATCGTCTTGGATAGTCGCCGTCGCCAATGCGAAAGGCCCGTAAATCTTCCGCAAAGTCTTTCTCCCAAATAATCAAAAGAGCCGCCTCATTGGATGTTACCCACACGGACATGATGAGTGACTTATAGAGTATAGTTTTCGTATGTCGAGAGAGGACTTTACTCCTAAATTGCCTACTCAGTCGAAAGTAGCACTTGTTGGCAAGAGTGATTCTGCGTTGAATTTCCATGCTGACATTTTTATCGGTGATAATGCTGGTTCCCAAGTAAACGAAATTCTCTACTTTCTTGAAATTATAACTGTTAACAGTGACGTGGGTGCCGAGCCGCGAATGCGCTGGCTGTTTGACAGGATAAACTTCGTCTTGTCCTCGTAGACACAATCGCTTTGCTTCCTTATCCTGCTTGGACTTCGCGGTCTGTCGATGTCAGCGGCATACGCCAGCAATTGCACGCTCTTGTAATAAATTCTTCCTGAGCAGTTCAGTTCTGCGGCTCTTATTTCTCCAACATTAGATTAAGGAAATCACATGAAACCCCGTTTGGTGCCAAACGGCTCGGGGAAGTCTTTCCCAATTCTGACGTAAGGCGTCATCGGAGCTGTTCATTTTGTACGACATTAGTCAAGATGAGAATTTTTGTACCAAAAGCAGAAAGAAAACATTTATTACCTCGTAAGGTGCTTACCAAATGGGTTACTCTTGTTACTGAAGTGAAAACTAAGCCTTCTAAGAGCTCTAATTTCTGGTCATGTAAAGCGATGGAAATTCTGATTTTAACTCCTCGGGGATGCGATTTTTTGTAGAATTAATAAAAATTATGTATAACCTTTTTAGTATATGTATGTATGTATATATTTTTTTATTAAATCGTACAAAAATTATAAAAGCAAATTAAAAAAGGCACAGAATTCGTAGCACAGCTTTGATTCGTCTCTCGTAAGCATAACGGCTTATACATTAGTCTCCGTTCCATGAAATCTGAACTGTGAGTGCTGGCGGCACTTTTACAGACAGCGTTCCATAGATTTCCCAATTTAGAAGCAACGACATCTATCCACTGGACATATTGAATTATAATTCAGACATTCATCCATACAATATGTGTCCGCACCCTCACGTCCCTCCAGTTCGCCAATGGCAACGCAGTCTTTACTGTGGAAGTGGAAGTTAAAATTAAAAAATAAGCCAAATCAGATTAAATTTAGATTAATTGAGAATAAATTAAAATTAAATTATTAACAAATTATATTAAAGTAAAGCAAAATAAACTAAACTAACTACACTGAGTGTGCGGATGAGGTATTAATATCAGGAAGGGATGTACATCATTTTTTGCTTCAAGCCAGCAGGGGTATTCGTATTGGACTATGGGAATAAAGGAATGCAAATTGTGGAAGCAGACCAATTACGGGCACGCAGTGCTCTTGACGGTAAGTAATAGTGGTGTGACGGGCGGAGATCTTTGCCATAGAAAAGGCGGCTAGCCTCATACGGTAGAGTGAGCCGTTGTCAGGGAATGCCGCTATATTCGTTGACAGCCAGGCCGAATTCAAATCATTATGTTCCAATGTAGTAAAGTCGAAAATAGTTGGAAAATGTTGTGCATCGCTGGCTTCACTGAGTCACATCAAAACCTCTTCCTGTTAGGTTCCTGGACATATCAATATCGAACGGAGATAATGGAGGTGAAAATATCGGACCTCTACAGATTAATCAGTGGTAGTAATTGGTTTAACAGTCACCGCAGTGACACTGTGGAATAAATTCGGTTAGAAGTATGGGTCGCCTCCTGGTACTCATAGGGGACATAATTATATTGGCTAAGTCTTCCACAGAAACTAATCTAATACATAGCTTAAATTTTTAGTTGAATAAAACTCACCTCAAAGTGAACCCAACTAATCTGAGCTAATCGAAATTAATCTAAACTAAACAAATCTAAACTAATCCTAACTAAGCTGAGCTAAACAAAACTAATAAAAATTAAATTAACAAAATGAAATAAAATATAAAAATAAAAACTAAAACTAAACATTAATATCTGTAGATACTTACGGACAGTAACATGCAGTTTCCGGACAATTAGGTGGATAACGCAAGCAATTAGTTTCACACCAGTTATCCATGCCCGGTATCGTACGGAATGCTGGAGCGGCAATACATTTTTGATCACTGAAAAAAAAGCAAAAGTTATGAAGAAAATCAGTGGAAGGTTTTAGCATTACTCATTGAGTCTTAATAATTCCAACTTTAAAACTAAATTACTGAAATAGTGCTTATTAATAAATTTTTTCTGCTTTAACCCACAAAAAAAATATATATAAAAAGTTTCGTAAAGCCACGAAACAATTTCGAAGAAACTAAAGGCAAATCAAAACCAAAACCATACTCCAATATAGGATCTATTGGAAAAAATACATTTTTATTTAAATAAAATCAGACGTCAGTATAGAACCAGCAAGCTATGAATATCCAATGGCTCAATAAACAGGTTAAGTAAGTAATCAAGGCGAATTATTATAAGGTGATAGCATGAATACAAAAACAAAAATTTACATGTATTTTGTTATTGCTTTGGCGGCATATACTGTCAAAATCTGTAAGAGTGTGTGTAGAAATTCAAACAAAATTTTTCAATTTGACATCAGAAGCCGTGCGGCGAAACACATACACAAAATCAGCTGATCTAGTAACACCACCTTATATAAATTCGCCTTGGTAAGTAATAAAAGATCTTTCCTGTTTTTATTTTGTCATTCGCCTGTCTTATAAAAAACAAGTAACTTTTAAGCAAAAAGCAAAACCGACTTCAATTCTCATATTAAAATTTAAGATTAACTTTAATTTCTTCATGATCCAACGATCGGATTTAAACCAAATTAGGATGAGACCACCTGTGAGGTAACGCCTTTCCCTTAAAATAGAATTATTCAAATAGGTTAACGTAGTCCAAAGTTATGCGGTAACAAACAAACAAAAAATATATTCCGACGAATTGATAACCTTCCTCCTTTTTATGAAGTCGGTAAAAGAAATTAATTGCAAATTTTCCAATAAGTGTCAAATCTATATAAATCTTTTTTTTTTTGCTCTTATTACTTCACTTGGTATAATTTCACCATGTGAAAAACCAAATAATTATGTAAGTTTTAAATATGCGCTTACATTTATTAATTTTAATTTTTGTAATTGGTAATGATGTGCCGGATAATAAAATAAAAAAATAATAAAAAATAAGAGCCGGATTCGGATATTTGGATATCGGATTTGGTAAATAGAGGAGAAACGTCCAAAGCAAAAGATAAACAACAATGGATGCCACTAAGCAAAAGCGCGTGGTTGATGTATTTTTATTTTAAAATGTGATGAAAATCGAACTATGAATCATGCATGCTTACATATCGCCCCGCTTCCCGTATCGTCCCGTAATGCTTCATTATTGCAATATTTTGTGATCCACGTTTTGAAAAAGCAGTTATGCAGATTCATGGCAAAATGTCCAAATAACCTAAACCAACAAGAATTTTTGATAAAAATGCATATTTGCAGTCACGGGACGAACTTAAAGTAGATACTCTTTATTATCTTCCAAATTGGAAAATTTTGGCGTAAACGAGCAGTGTACGCCAAATTTCATCAAACAAATATTTTTTTTTTCAATTTGCGCCTCTTCTTCTAGAATTGGTGGACGATAATGTAAGCCAATTTTGACGTTCTTTCAGATTTATGCTTTTATAATTATACCCAGCGTATAATAAGAATTTCATCAAAATCGGATAACATTTACTATTTCCGCCCACAAGAGCTGTGGGCGTGGTAGCGCGTCGACATTTACCACTTTCCACATTACTCATTCTTAAGTGAAGAATACCGCATATACAAAATTTCAGCGAATTTGTAGGACGCAGAAAAAAGGCAGCGATTTAGAAATGTAGAAATATTTACGGCGCCCCCTTATACCCAGATAAGAAGATCCTTTAATTTGGTGTAAGCATAGTCGCAAAGAATTTCAAATTTGCTACACTGGCAATGAAGTGTCTCTACGTACCACCTTCATCAGTGAACTTCTGACGAGTGTTTAGTGCATCGGGTAGCGCTTATGTTGAAAATAGAAGTAGGTTGTTGCCCGATAATGCGGTAATGCTTCTCATCATAACGAAAAATACATAATTTTTTAACTCTACAAATTTTTAGTAATAAATTTGATTATAAACGTAAATAAAAAATTCTGAACTAGATTTTAAAATTGAATATTCTACAATTGAAATCCGGGAATCCGGCCTGATATTGGCTAAAAGAAAAATAAAATAAAAATAGCCGGGTAACAGAAAAACGACCGGTTGAGCCGGATTTCGGATATCTACCGGATACCCGGCACATCCCTAGTAATTGGCAACCCAAAAATCGGAATATTAGTAATGAAACATTTCAAAAAGAAATCGATATTTCCTTCATTTCAAAAATGACTTCGAGAAAAAAATAGCGAATATATTTAACATTTCTTTGAATTTTATTTTCTAAGTAAACACAATTCCACCGCTCTGTGAAGGTCTGAGTTCAAAACAACCGTGACCGAGATCTTGTTAAATCCGGTAAAGTACTGGTCATTTTATAAATCTTTTCCAACACCCAAACTTTTTTCCTCATTAGCAGCATGCTCCAAACCAAACTGCGTTCCAAAATTCATACTCAAATAATTTCATTTGGGAAAGTAGACAATTGCAAAGTTCTCATTAAAATACAAGTTTTGAATGATAAAATTGAAAAAAATAATAATTAGACCTTTTTAAACGCCTTCCACATAAATACCCAATAAAATATTAAATTATTTTAATAATTACCTACTAATTAAAATGCGCATAATTGGCATAAACAAAACATTTTAAATTTTATAAACTACCAACAGCAAACGATCACTGCACTGCGTATGGACAATGCCGAATTTAGTGAACAGATGTAAGCCGAATCCATTGATGAAAATGGAGAAGGAAAACGAGAACCAGGACTTGCGTCGAAAGCTGAAAAACTTGCAGAAAGGTGAGTTCACACATTTGACCAATAAGTTCAACAAATTTCGTCATACTGATTTCAAATGACTGCAGTAACCTTTCGTTCGCTCTCAGAGCGATCACCAGGACAGACCAACAAGGAAACCGTTTGGGATCGTTTGAGCAAAGTAAAGAAGAGCGCCAGCAATGAAGGTAGTTTGTTGATCGGCAGCAAGGGCCGTACCCATATGCCGGCCAAGTGTTCGATGCGATTGCAACCGGCGCGCCCGCTGGGACAACGAACTAACAAAAAGCCGCTTACACCAAATACAAATCTCAACAAGCGGATTATGGAGAAGAAATCTTACCGTATAATTAAAGGCAAAGCGGTGTACACACCTGAGCTGGAAGCTGATGACAGCACATTCAGTTGCAAGCGTATAAAATCTGTGAAGGAGATTATGACAGCGCGCAGTATTTGCGATTCTAGAACTTCTTCGGACGAATCGGATTCCGCAAAAACTTCACCCAGATCCGAGAACATGAGTCCCATGGTAACAGTGCCGCGCATCAAAGATTATGATACTGATGATTTCGAAATAGTGAATCAAGTTGAGTCACAAGATTCGTTGGAGGACTTTGTGGTTGCTCCACTCATACCTGTGCCAACCACCGAGTCCTTGAATATGAGCGCCTACATAACATCAAACTTTTGCTGCCTTTTGGACAACAGGAAAAAGAATATGGAACCCGAGGAGATATCGGTGATCAAAAATGTGGTGAAGACTGATGAGCGCCATCGACATCTCCAGCCAAACGATTCTATATTGTTCAAGGAGATACTCAAAACGCAGTTGAAAGAGATAATACGTCAAGAAATGGTTGTCAAATTGGCTTTAAAAAACTTACACGAACTTCCAGAGACCGACTGCCCATCCACTATAGCAACACATAAGCCAAGCACACCAAATTCGGCGCATAAGAAACCACAAGTGGATGTGATCTTCAAGAATGTACCAACGTTGGAAAAGGAGATAATCATCTTGAAAGCTTTGGGTGAACAACTGGAGGCGACGCTAAAGCGCACGGTGTCTCAAAATGAACTAAAATTACTCGAGCTCAACAAGTTGGCCATACCCATAGCCAACAAGTGGCACTGTTCCTACCCAGACAATGTGGAATATGCAAGCATTGCGCTTATGCCCAAGGGTATACGCAGATGCGTGGGTATTCTACAGAAATTCCGCATGGAGCTCAAGACCATTGTCGAACTGAAGGAACAAGCCAATCATCACTTTTATCTACCCTCCCACAAAGATAACAGCGAGCTCAAGCGCACTACGTTCAAGCGACTAAAAGAGAACCCCGACTTGTTGAGGCGTTACCTGAAGCCCAAGAATACACTCGCACCTTTTAATGTGTTGGAGCAAGATCCTTGTTTCTTTAACAGCTTTCTCTATAGTCCTTGTGTAATAGGGGGCATAGAAAGTGTTGTGTCACTGTCAAAGGATTTGGTTGCGGCAGCGCCAGCCGCGAAATTGTCGACGACACAGGTTGGTGATAGTGCGCGTAGTGTTTGTGTGCCTTACAAGTATGTGAAAGAGCCACTGAAGATCGAAGAGATTCAAAACACTCTAACCGATGCCTTCTTTAATGAACAGCCACCGATCGCGCCGCAACAGCAAGCGCAAAGCTTGCCAACTGAACCAGAAAATAAAGAACTACACGTACCTCGAGTGTGTGAGGCGCCAGTGCGTGGGCGAAAGCGGCGTCGTATACGAAAGCGTACAACACCGTTGTCGCCGTACAATGACACTGATCCGAAGAATAATTTGTTCAAGACCATACTGGTGGGCAGCGTTCAAATATCAGTGTTCTTGCTACTTATTATGGCTGTCACATATCCTGACTTAAGGTGTTGAAGTGGATGCCAGTTTTCGATGGCGAATTTATTGCTATGAATATTTGTCTCAGTCCTAGAGATTTGTTACTTGTATTGCATGGTCATTGTTCGACGGTTTGCTTTTTTCCTGCACTTTTAACTTATAAGAAATTCTTAACTTTTCCAATTAATTTGGTTTAACTAATAGTTCAAAATTCTTGACGGACCAAGAAATTACAGAAGTGAAAATTTGTCTGCTCTTTAAAAGAAGAAATTTGATTTCTGTAACTTCTTTTACATCGATTTTGTGATGTATAATACTACTTACTATATATGTACATGCATATGTATGTATTAATAATAGGTAAAATTCTCGAAATTAGCGAAGTAAAATATACGAGTTTTTATAAAAGGTGTGCTGTTTCTAATATTTATAAATGGATCTTATGTTAAGTTAATGATAGGCATGGCCGAAAGGCTTTTTTACTTCGTGAAACTAATTTTACCGTCTCTTAACATTCCAGACATTTGCTAGGATCGGTAACCGGTCTTCCTGCCAGTCTGAGGTCCGTTTGAGGTCCGTTTGAGGCGCGCCTCGACGTTTCTCTAATATTTTCAAGTTTGCTCACAAACACATATCGCCGTTATTTATCAATGCAAAAAGCCCGGACCTGATTGACATTTTGTTTATTTCTTAGATATTTTATTAATTAACTAACTCTCACATATTGTTGAAATTTGTAGGACAGTCCTAAAAGTATTTCCTATGTTATTTTGAACAGATTTTTGCTTTTTTAAAAATTGACCAACTCAGCCCATTAATGACGACAATATATAATAATCTTCCTTAAGAACTTATTCTTTTATACTGTATTTCACGAGTTTTTGTTTGCAAAGTATGTACTGTGTACTCTAATAAGTTTTGTGAAACTTCATCATTTGGATAATTTACTATGAGCTATAATACCTAGAATCACTCACACACTGCTGTGTGGTATCCCCTTTCAGCGCTTGCAAACAAGCTTCGATTGTGCCATACTTCCGAGTGCATATTTCATACTTTTAATTGTCATTAACTAATAACGACAATTTGGTAATGCCGGAAGAACATTTGTTAGTAATTTTTTAGTAAAATTTTCCCGGTATTTTTTTAAATTTTTTAGTTATTTTTCCGCATGTCGGTGAGGGCGACACCTACTTTATTTTAATAAATTGAGCGCATGTCGGTGCGCCAACTGGCCATCAAGTTGACAAACCATGTTATTTGTGCTAACAGCTCATTCAGCTTGAAGATGGCGCTGCAAAGTAACTCTTTCATTGCATACCTTCAGGCGGTTAGCTGCACTGTGAGAAAAGTAGCTCTGGATATAAAATCAAAAAGTTTTAAAAATTTAACACAAGAAACGTTTATGCAAAAAGGCGCGAATAATTTTTGATCATTGATGGATAAGGACTATGTACAGTGTTGTGCGTTTCGCTTGAAGTTAGCCTTTTGGTTTTAAAATATTTTCTATCCCTTTCGTAAATTTAGTGGCATTTAATAAAAAAAAATTATTGAATTTTGATAAAGGTAAAAAGAACGACAACTAAAATTACCCTCAGCGTACAAATACAAAGAAGCGGGCAATGAAAAGGCATTTTTTTTTTTTGGAAAAGAAAACGCTATAAAATATATTTTCCGCTACTTTTATTATAAAAAATAAGCGTAATAAACAAAAAATATTAAAACCATGTAGCCCATTAAAGTTTAATATAATAAAGTGCAAGTTTGTGGTATATTAGATTTTTTTCTTTTTTTTCCTGGCTACAGTGTTTTCTTATTTTTTATTTATTACGTTTGCGGCATGAGAAGCCAATGGAAACAATGTGTCGACAGCATTCTTTTGGATCTAATGACACATTGATATCTGGAGTCTCTTTTGGAAGAAAGTACGTCGTAAGCTTTCTTACAAAAGAGTAATGAAGAGATCAAGACACTGTTTTGGGGAGCTCTGTAAAAACTTTCTATTACGAAGGTTCCACAACTAAAAATGGAACTGGTGCTGCATGGCATAAGGAAGGTTATTTCAGATATTTTTCTGTTTTAGGTACAATAACAACGGCTTTTTATTCAGAAACCTATTGCAATACTTAGTGTAGCAGAATGGATAATTGGAGAAAGGCGGCTACACTTAAGGCCTTGGAAACCGCTCGCTCCTACTCAAAAATTCACAGTCCAGGAAGTTGGGGTTGAAGTCGGTTGCAAAATGAAATGAGTTGCCTCCATATTCCGGTGGCCAAAAACGCTGTAAAAACTTCCGTTTAACATCTGAACAAACTCCAAAGCAGGGCTCTACTGTCGGTGACAGGAGCAATGAGAACTTGTTCAACTGCGGCCATAGAGTCACTCCTAAGTTGGACTCCCCTCACCTCCAGCAGCAGCTTCGAGGAAATTGCTGATTTGAGGACTTAGTTGGTCCTCTTCGAGGCTCATAATTGATGCGTGGGTAAACTCAGAACACAGTAAGTAATGGGTGAGGTAGGGGGCCTTAAACAAGCCAGAATGTTTGGTTGTCATTTTGCTAGGAAATATATAAATTTCTTGAGCAAAAGCCAATATCAAGTTGCTAATTGGCTAACTAGCGGGCCATAATCCCCTGCGCGCTCTCACATGCACCAGATTGGTATTTCGACAGAGCCTGCTTGCTTTGAAGACGTCGGCGCACATTATGTGATATCAATATTTCAGTTCTTATGGTTATGGTTAAAAATTCGTCTACCAAGAAACTTTCAGCTTTCATATGAGAGGCTAATAACATCTTGGCCGTGAGTGGTAGGAGCCATCAAAGGGATGCAAAAAATCTAGGTCCCAGCCTAAGGCTCATGAGAACTGTTGGTGCAACACTGACACCTGTAAAACTGCTAAGTGTCTCCTGAAAACGCCAGCAACTGGGATGGGTGGGATTACATCTCAGAGAGAGGAGGAGTGAACTACGAGCCCTGATAGAACTGATATCGGCATACAAACTATAGGAAGACATGTTCACCATGGCCATTATCGAGGCCTCCCTGTGCAAAACTTGTTTGGAAGATGAGACTTCGCAAGACTAAGATGGCACATTTTTGAGTCGGACGTATTGAGGATGGATGAGCTACATTCCTTTTTCTCGACAAACTACTAAACGAGTCTAGTAGGTAAGTCTGCAGAAGAGTATTAAATTCCCACCTCGCCTGTCTTTCCCTATCCTTTTAATCCATTCTCTGGGACTTAAGTACATACATACATAGAATGAGTAATATAACCTGAGTGGAAGCAGTGAGTATACAACTAAAAACTCAATTATGGAGCTCACAATGCCTTTGTTATAGAATTAAAAATTAAAAGGGTCTATTTGATCATACAACTAGAGCTCAGATCTTCACGATAAAAAATAATCATAATTATAAGCAAAGTGTATACCAATTCAAACAATTTCCTTATAGTTTTGCCATCATAATATAGTGCTTCTCATAACTTTACGACACTCACATATTGACAAGATTTGACTAGTCATCTTAAAATTTTTTAATTTTAATTCTATTTTTTTATAAAAATATAGAATATTCTTTAATAAAAACCATATAAATCCAAGATTGCTTCAATCTTTGTGCTTTTTTTAACATACAAATCCGAACTCTAGAATATTTGTAACTCGCTGGCGATGATAAAATTCTTACAAAATTTTAATGCTGCCAACACCAAAGCATTATTATCTATAACAAAAAAAAAATAAAACAACTTCGCCATATAAATTTTTGTGCATACTTATATTTGTAACAGTGAGTGTATTATGTATAAGATAATAATACATATTAAGTTAAGTTGTGTTGAAATAAATTTTGTGATAGTTCTAACTGTAAATTTGATATATGTATACCAAAACCAAATTAACTACAATATAGCAGCTACGCGTTTTTTTCTACGTATACAGTAAACTCCGGTTAAGTATTATCGAGAAATATTTTATGATTTTATGTTACATGAAGGAATTTATTCCAATTTATATTCACCGAATGCGAAAAGAAGAAACGTTTATAACTACTTTCATGCGTATATCTTTTCTAATAGAGTAATCGATTTAATATTTTGTCATAGCATTAGAAGGCACTAGAATTTTCAATGTGGTACTTAAGACGGAAAGTTAGATACTTAACCGGAGACTACAGTATGTACAAATAAAAAATTATAATAAGCAAAAAAAAAGAAAATTAGAAAAACAAAAGCAGCATAAAGCAATCAAAAACTCAAGAAGCATCTTATCCTACTGCTCTCAGTTTAATGCCTTGAAGTGTTGCTAAAAAAGCGAAGCAAATAAAAATAATCAGTTTAGCGCGAAATCAAATATTGCAATTCAATTTGTTAAGCTTTATGTTGATCCATAACAACTCTCTCCATCCACAAAACCTCACCCCTACTTACCGTACAATAAGCGGGAATACGTTATTATCCTCCGGCGCACGATAATCTCTATAGTAAAGTAGATAAGGAGATTTGTTATTCACGAAGATTGGCGGTACACCGCCACCCGTATTGGATACGATCGCAATATCGGCGCAGTTCCGGAATGTTTCTGTAGTTAATAGAATTTCTAAATTAGCAGCTCAACTAAAAGTTACGAAAAAAAGGCGTTTACTTACCCGCCTTACCGCAACCCACCGCCTCGGTGCCGTTGCCGCATTTGCCCCACATATTGGCTGTGTAGTAGGTCCATTGCAGCACACATTGCGTACACGTGACATAGGGCGGCAGACGGACACGATAGCGGAATATCTCTTTCTTGGGTGCATCGCGTGGTATGAGAAAACGATGTTCACGCCGGCTACCAGAAATGTAAAGTGGAAAGCGATCGAAACATTCTTGTGAAGCCTCACGACGTGGATTGTTGTTGGGGCAGAGGAACATTTCGAAACGGCCATAATGATTGGCAGTAAGTTCGATTTCTACGTCGATTTCCTAGAAAAATACAAAACAAAAAAAAAAAAGAAAAAACAAATGAAGATCCCACCTAGTGGCTAAAATAATCATAGTTTTTACTCACCTGCCCTGCCGCGTAGTACCGTGAAATTATCCCTTTCGCATATTCACCACCCGCCTCGTGTGGGCGTGGCGTTTTCACATGATACGCATCACCGCACACCCCACATTTCCCCGCATTCTGTTCCCATTGCACAGCATATCCACCGCAGAAGAGTTCGTTGTCATTGTAGTTTACCGCATTTGGAAATCCAAAGCGCCACATGGCATTGCGCGCGGGTGGATCCATCAGTCGTCCATGACCAAGCACGGATTGTAACTTTAAACTGCAGATCGCAGCCTAAGACAAGAGGAGACATTTTATTTTATTAAATAACGATACGTCTAGTCATTTCAAGGTTCTTTTTTTAATCCTTCAACTAAATTTCTTCCCTTCTAATTTTACTAAACAATTTCTATAAATAGACCTATATAAAAACCTAAAGAGACCTATAGTAAAATATTGTGTGTAAGTTTTTGTGGAAGGTACTAACCCTCTAACTCCTACTACATCTGGTCCTTTTGTCCCAACTTTTGAAAAACTTACAATTAGAGTGTTAAAGATATTCTACGAACATGTTCTATGAAGAATGTTACTGGTGAATTTTTTATTGGAATTTTCATTTATCGAAAACGATAACCTTCTGCGACTTAAGGAATTGGAGTAAATACAGAACATTTCGTTAAATAATTAACATTTCTTACCAAAAAGTCCAACTTTTAACCCTTCTTAAACAGGTTTCTGTGTTGGCTTAGACAGAAACCTGTTGTTGTTGTTTTAACAATATAAAATCTCACCAGAGGTTTTGGGGAGTGATGATGCAGTGACAGCCCGTACTCAGATAAAAATCCGACCCTTTCCGTTTATGTCAAACTGTCAGAACCTGGGTTGTTCATTGTGAATGCCTTCTCTGAGGTCTCTGAGTAGGCGCAAGTTTATGACCGGTGTTTATAAAAATATTCATGACAATATTCTGTTGAAGCCCTTGATTATGCCATATGCAATTATGGAGATCGCGCCTGAGAAGGTATGCAGTTTTTTGGCTGATTAACATTGGCTTTAAAAATTTGAGACTCTCACAATAAACACTTTTAAACTATATATATGTTATGCCTAAGGCATATTCGTCCATTCTCCCCGTAAGCTTACAGAAAGGTTATTTCTTTCCAGGACTCAGCGAGTACAGTGACGCCAACAGCGCGAAAGTAGGGCAAATATTCGTATTTCTTTTGTAAGGGTACGTTGAGTGCCACCAGATGAATTGCCTAGGACATACATCATGGTATGGTGGAACAGTTTCTCAATTAATAGCTTGGGAAATCTGCTCGCCAAGTTTCAAAAGACAGTCGCCATGTGCTGCTCGCATGCCTTCTCTGCTCTTGAGATGTTGGTATGGTACTGGGTGGGGTGAGACGGAAATTGTTGGAGATTTAGACGCAAGTGTCTTGTCCTTAGATATTAAGCCACCATTACCTTAGCTGAGAAGTTAAAAAATGTTGAGTTCGCTAAGGTTGATGTTGGCTTAATTCCAGCACTCACTTTTCTCTTGGAGAATATAGATATTTGGAATCTTTAATGAGGAAAGTAGGTAGTGTGGCAAGAGTTTACGTGCGACAACACGGCATTGGGTAGCCACCTAAGAACTTCCAGATTACTTCGGTAATGCAAGCCTCGACTAAATTATGTTGGAAAACATAACGAATTTGTTTCAATTTGTGCACCAGGTCAATCAGAAGTAATAAGACACCAGGCCGTTTGGTTTGAACCAGCTTTAGCCATAGTAACTGGCCGACAATTTTGCTTAGAAATGCCTAGAAGGATTCGAGGCTTCCTGCAGTGTAAAGATTAGGTATGCGACTCTTGGCAGCGCTGAGCTGACAAACGAAAAGCTGAGCTCTTTAAAACCCAGCAATCTTCTAGACTAGATTGCCCTCACCCGCTTCGCTGAGTGTATGGAGTTTCTGCGAGTTACATTCCGTGTAATTTATTTCTAAATAAACTGAACACATTTAAACTCAGTTAAAAATATAGAAGTTTCTAATTTTTTTTAACTCCCTCTCAATATTTTCAAAGTGAAACCTCCTTCACTTTTCTTATTCCCTAAATTGAAGCCCAATTTGAGTTTTTAAACAGGAACATGCAGTTAGGAAATTAAGCGTTTTCCATATTGCCCATATTGTAATATTCAAATTAGTAAATATTTTGTGATACAAATTCCAGTTACCTAACTCCCTTAGTTCAAGTAAAATTTAATTTTTCCAGCAGGTGGAAACCCTCCTACACATAGTTTAAAAATAAAACCGTTTCAAAACCATTTCGATTGATACCCATAATGTTATAATAATTTAAATTTATTGAATAAACAGGTAAACTCTTGTAATAATAATATTCAAAATCTTCAAACAAAAGGTTCCGAAACAATCTTTCGTTTGGCATTATAATTAAAATTTTCAAATTGATTGCGAACAATTAATTTAAATTAGACTTTTTAAACAGGTGGCAACGCTTTTCAAACTATTTTCAAACTACAGCCTTGGTAAGCCTCTTTCGTCTAACAGTAAAAAAAGTACTTTTAATTCAAGTTGAATTTGATTTTTTTAGACAGGTGGCAACCAGCACAATGGGTGGTATGTGCCCTGATTGCTGTTTTCTGGACGAATTCTTTGCTTTAATTTTCTACTCAATTTAAATAGGTATTTCTTAAAATATTTTTATTAAATCGAGGTGTATCGCTATGCTGATCAATTCTTTCAATAAAAAAAAAAAAACTTTTTGTCAGCCTTTTTAGCGTAATTAATGGTAATTTATCCCTTTCAAATGTTATGATTTTTTCGTTAAACTCATAAGAGTTTGGGAATATACAGCATGCTTTCCAAATTTTTATTTACTGAATAATATTTTTGAACGTTCTAACTAATGGATGGAAATATATTTATTATAAAATAAAAAGAAGAAACTTACCAATGCAACTAGCAGGGACTGCATGATGATTTATTTATTTTGAAAGCGTCTAAGCTAAAAAAAAACAGAAAACATAAACGAAAATAATATAAATACATATCGCTTTAAATATAATGTCATAAGTAATAGGTAAACAATGATTATGAGAAGTATATTAAATAGCATCTGTTAAAATTGCATGCACTTTTTGTTTCATTGATTTCTGCTATCGAATTTGACTTCCTTGCTTTTGATTATAAAAATAAATAAATCATTACGCTTATCGCGATCAACTGATCCTAGCACTTCAATACTGAAACACGACCAGCAATAAAAAAAAAAA